GACTGGGAAAAACTCATTGAATCGATGCTGCCCATACCTTGGTGGACCAACTCCTATCTCCGTTCGATTTGTCTTCCTTCTGTTTACCGCAGAGAAACCCTATTTGGTTACGGTAGCCGNAGAAGCGTGGCCCATTAGGTCAGACTGGGAAAAACTCATTGAATCGATGGCTGCTCGTACCTTGGTGGACCAACTCCTATCTCCGCTCGATTTGTCTTCCTTCTGTTTACCGCAGAGAAACCCTATTTGGTTACGGTAGCCGTTTAGATGTTTGCGCGTCGCGCATGCTGCCGTCCTGTCTGTACGTAAATCCTTAGGCAGCTGTTCTTTTCGTTTATGAACAGAGACAGATTGTATGGTTCACTGACGATGATCTATGAGCTCAACACCATCAGCACAAATCGCTAATGAAATCTCAACCTTCAACGGATGATTTATGTGCTGCTTTACTCGATTAGTTATGAATGAATGACCCTGTTATCGATCGATCTGTCTGGTGAAGTCTGGCCGAGTTGATGGTTTGCAGGAGTGTATTGATGTTAAGGGTTCAGTTGAACACATGTTTGACAAGCCGAAAGGGCTGTCTGACGAGAATTGATGGCAATCATTGGCTGAAGTGCCTAACGAATGGCAGACAATAACTAGTTAGAAAAAATCCTTCAAACCAGCTGCAAATAATATTCTTGCCAGAGTTACATCTAAGCAAGGGTAACCGAAATTGCTCGGAATAAGGAAAAATGCCTTCAGACAAGCCATTCGAATGTGCTTTGAACTCTGCTGATGAAAAATTCGGATAGAATCCAAAAAATCTGACTATATATTATACAGCAGTAGAGGAGATTACTTCACTCTCTCTTTAAATGGTTCCCTGCCACTTCCAGTCATACTGTGGGCCACATGAAAACGGCATCTCTTTCCTTTTTCCATGCTCCTGCGCGACATCCCGTCTATCTTTCAACTACTGTCTTCATGGCCTAATGGAATAGATGAAAGGATCTGGGTTGGAGCACTTCTTGAAATGCCTCTGATCGGAGTTAAGTCCCGTATCGGGGCAGCTGTAACATTTGTCTTGGAAAAGTTCCTTTTTATGATTCTTACCCAGATTTTGTCTCAAGAAGTGTTATGCCTGCAGAAAACTTTTGAAAAATTGGCTGGGGTAGCAGGCATGTCGCACCGCAATCAATCAGCTAAATTGTGTATTTTCACTGTTTATCATCATCTAAGTGAAACGAGTGGTCTTGAAGATTCCGCAATTCCGCACGAGAACAGGGAACCCCTGCTGGATCAGGATGGTAACGATCAAAAGGTTGTTGGCACTCTACCGTAATCAGTGACCAGTGTATCTCTCCCGTCGGCACATTCCTCCATTTGCCTTCGGAGAGTGTCAAACTTCAAACGGTTGTGTAATCGTCGATCGGCGAATCCGAGACGACGACAAATCGACTTTGACAGCATAATTACACTTAAGCTAGCAGATAACATCGTGTCGGAATCCTTCTTCATTAGCAAAGTGCTGGGTGATTTGGCCAGAATAGCACCGCTTCACGTAGGTGTCAAATCTCAGCAGAAGCCCGTTAGCTTTGGGTATGGGCATTCCGAAGAAAGTGAATAGTTCAGGCGTGTCTGCACTTTTAATTTGGAGATTTTTCAACTGTTTGACATATTTGAGCGTTATCGGATTTAATAAAGACTTATATACCCATATATTTCCCTGTAGGTTACCTAAGCGTGTCTAATCGGCCCAGTAACTAGTAATGCGCGTCTAAACAAACGTTGACGGGCCGGTGACAATGCATACACACGCGCCGAAGATGCATGGGAGTCTCTATTGTTGATGATGACGAATTGTAGTGTTTGGCCAGGTACACAACCATATGTAGCATTCCTAANGACCTGGTCAATTGCCCTTTGATTGGGTTTTATAAGTTTGAACGAATCGTAAACGCTCCGAAGCCACATGTTCGTTCAAAACGTTGTCATAACGGACGTGTTATCAGATTTACTGCCTTTATTTCGTGAGCCTCAACGGCGACGATGGCGGCGGAAGACCGTGTCATAAACTCCGGCTGGATGACCTTCGGTTTATGACTGTTTAGTAGTTCGGAAAGTGCTGGCCACGTACGGTTAAGAGGTGTTGGTCCTTTAGTGACCGACGACCACCATATACGCAACAACCGGCCATCGGCTCCTTTAATGTCCCGGCGTGCGGGCAAAGTTGACGAGCAGGCGGTCGACGATTGAGGTTGAGTGGAGGACGGGGAATTACTGTGAGAACTTCCGAAAACTCTGATTTAGTGGTCAGATAGGAGTGGGAGAAAGGGTTAACGACCAAGAGACCGGTTCTATAACTGAGAATTGCATGAACACTTTTCTTTGTAGACGATTTTTTGGACCTACAGTGGACCAAAGTCTGGTGCAGCATCGTGTAAATGTAAGGGAAGTTCTCTTCTGAAACTCACACAAACAAATTTGTGCTCCAACTATCTAGGCTCAGTAAAACTGAGAGCATATGTACCTAAAACCGGTGGGTATGCTTGGAGTCAGAAGGATTTTCACACAAAACGATTTTCTGACTCATTCGGATAGCCGGTCGGATTTCCAGACCTGGAATTCGAGGCAATACTGTCAGCCCTCGATACTTTTTGAACCCCTAGTTCTCATGGAGCATGTTGATGGTACTGTAGAACATATCTGTTGTTACTTCTGTAGCCAAACAAATGACAAATATAAAGCCTGGAAAACACAGGTCCAGGTTCAGACCTCGGTTGTGGGAATTTTCATTCTTCACCCCTGAAGCTACCCAGAAAGTAGCATTCAACCTGGCCTTTCGATCAAGTATCGCTATCGAAATTTAACTCTTATGAATTCTTCATGAACTGAAAACATCGAACAACTAATCCAGCTAAATCAACGATTTCTCCAGCAGAAAACCAGTTAAAAGTAGCAAGCCAATCGAATACACGTTCAGTTGTCTCCATTATTATTTATGGGAGACCAAGGGCATGGCTCACCCCGAAGTTTCGGAACTGAAACTTATTTCTTAGGCGCTTGTAAGCAGAGTCTATCAAGAAAAATACCAAATTTCGATAGACCCAGTCAATGAGATTTTCATGAAGTTCGCATGGACGTAGCCAGTAGTGGCCTTCTGCACTCACGACGACCTCTGGCGGCTGTTCACTACACCTGCGCTATTGAGTAATCCCGTATTGAATCCGGTAAACATCTGTCATAGGGTGTTTAGTTACTCTTTTCGCTATCTTCGTTCCCATCTTACCGTATTCACGTCATCGTCACCTGCTGTGCAGTGTGACTCTCTTCCGCTCCGATATTCCCTTCCGTCTAGTCCCACCTATGAACAACTACAACCACCACCCGAGGATCACATTTCTCATCTGTTGCCCATTTAATCGTTCGTTCACGAGTAATGATGTGGAACCACAGTCTTTGCAGGAACCGCTCGATCCCTTCAAAAGTCTTACCGCCGACTCTTTTTCGCGCCCGTCAGGGGAAAAACTGGTTGCTACTTGTAATCATGGGATCCAGAATACGAAACATTCCGTTCAGGGTACTACATTTTCTGTACCATGTCTCTCTGGTCCGGGTAGGGATAACGCTTAGCGCTAAGCTGTTGAGTACACTGGCGATTAGATGAGCTGAATGTCCTATAATGTATGCATAAGCAATAAAGAAGCGTTTAGATGGTCTCGCCTGAGATGTCATTATTAGATACACGAGGTTCATTAATGACAAGAAGCTCATATAAGCAGGCGAAGGAAGAAAATCACCCGCTATGTCATTGGAATTTCGGGGGTCATCATTCACACTCATTAGCATCCCGGAGGGTTATCAAGAATCACTGCAAAAGCTCCCTTTGGTATCGTATACTCCCTAAACAGGTACTTAGGTGAGTGTTTACTCCATTTTGTGAAAGAGGAAGCAATCCGAGACCTCCATTCGTGCTTGTTTGATTGTTCGACGTCTTCACAAAGGTGTTTTGCTGCTCTCATCAATTGCGAGCATGGGTCATGGCTACGTTCGGTCAACGGGGTGTGTGGGGTACGGTGGGGTAGAATAATCTGTTTCGCCTTACTCTCAAATATTATTGTTCCCGGTTAATTGAAAGGGTTAGGCAATGTCCGGCGCCCTCCGACATAGTCACGGTGACTATCCCTGAACTTTTTAGCAGCTGACGTTCTTTGAACCGTTACAAACTACCTGGGACATCTTCGAACTGAAAATATCCCTATACTCAATGGTGCCGCTGAAAGAGCCGATTGAGCCTTCATACGAGCCAACAAATTTACTTCTCAGGATTCTCATCTACAAGTTTATTTTTATTTGGGATCCCCCTAAAATATTTGATCCGTTGGTCTAGTGTAAACAATGACACTTTCCAGAAGCGCTTGTCGTTGTTGTCTGGCCGATGAGCACTCGCTCATTAGGCCATCGATGAATTCATCCTGCGAAGCATGCACATGCATCACTAGCCCCCTCTGTCTCTCGAAAACACTTATGAACTGAGTGTCGTAATCAGATTTCATTAAGATGACCAATTTGTGGGGTGCTTCGTTATGAGGCCAATGGTCCGTTTATACAATTAAGATGTCGGACCGCATTTTGCAACATTCGCCGGCCTGACAAGATGAGCAAACTAAAAATACCGTGGATACTGTGATTTACTACAGTGTTCGGCGGTCAAATGAAGTCGCGTAGATGATTTATGGCAGGTAGCGGCGATAGGCACCGCACACGTTCACGTGTCTTCTGACAATGGCCATAAATTGGCCGGTGCCAACGGACATCAGGCGGCTGAATCAAAGAACTTGTTTACGGTGATACTAATGATTACAATAAAGTTGTAGAGTTCATCAGAGGGGGCGACATCTGCAAAGGACAGCTGTTTTGCAAAAATCACGAGAAATCTTCCAAAAGGGTAAATTAGTGATGGTAGTGAGTGATCTTCAGTAATCATAGCTGCTAAAAAGTTGTCTTGTCAAATCTTGAGATTCTCACTTAACATATTTTTTCTACAGGATAATCTTATTATAGGCTACATATTCTCGAGTAAATCTATTGTTTACTTTGCATTAGTTCAAATGTTTGTCAACAATTAATGAGAACTAACTAATATGTTATTCTATAGAATGCTAGCATAGCATGAATTAATATTAATGCTGTAATTCATAGTAATTTGTGGTAGAGAGATTTAGATGTAGACTATGAAATAATAATGATAATAATAGTAATAATAATAATAATAGCAAAAATGACAATAATACGTATTACTGAGTGATTTCCAATGATACAACGCTTTCGGCGAAGTATTCTAAACATTTCGCAACTCTTCATCAGTAGTCTGTGCAAGTGTGTTTAGAGTCGAGCGATTCGCGGCCATTGGTGACTCCTTGGACATTATTTGCCCGTACTACGATCCCGACGAAGATCAACAGGATGCTGAACAAAGTATCATCTACAGGGTGGGTTCTGAATGTAGTCAACGCCTCCTCAGATGTGAATCAGTATGGTCTTTCTAGGTATCGGAACATGACTATGAGACTTGCACGTTGTCATCATCAGCACGTGAATTGGGACGATGCATATCACCAAACCGACGAGACAAAGTTAAAGTGTCGTTCCGGCTTATGAGTCCGAATCCGTCAGCATTAGACTATCGACCTGGGCAGACCTATTTTTTCATAAGTAAGTTTAAAATTTGTTATTACTGCTTACCTTCAAGGGCCTTCAAGGTCATGTTGGGTAGGGTTGTTGGCCAATCACAGCTCAGCCTGAGGGTACTGACTGACCAATAGCGCTGAATGGTACTGCTCCATGGCAATGATTCGAATTGAAGTCGATTATCGATCTGTTTTTTTCTTTAGCAACCTCAACCGGATCACGGTATGGCCTCGATAACAAATACGGAGGTCTTTGCGCTAGTCATCATTTGAAAATGGTCATCCATGTTACTGATAAGAACGGCGATACCAGCCGTGAGTTGTTGTTGTTGTTGTTGTTTTGATTTATTGATCAAATCCTAGTTCCTTTTAAAATTATGTCAATATATCGGTCATTCAGGGCATATTCATCGAATTCACAAGAAACCAATAATCACTAGTACAACAGAAGCCCCACAGTGGCCATCCGATCCATTATGGGGAGAGTTTTTCGAGAAAGTGAGTTATTGATGGCTATTAACTGGGAATTCCCATTTATTGGTTGTCCACTCTTGCAGATACCTTTGTAACTAACGATATTCCTTGATATTCCAAAATTTTCCAGGTTGGAAAAGGGGAGAATCCGATTTGGCCCACAGTCACCCGAGGTGAACGCCTTTCTCTGGATGGCGATAACCGACGGCATGAGTATGAGGCACTGGCATTGGGTGAAGAAATGGATTTCCAAATCCATGAAATCGGAGACGGTAAGCTAGTCCGAAAGAATGCAAAGTAGACTAGAAGTTAAAAATCGATTATCGATTGGAAAAAATTAGGAACTGAAGTATTCTTAAAAGCTCTTCTCCACGTAATTTTGGTATTTCAGTGGACAGCTTATACTCGTCAGGACCTCGTCCATCAATTACGATAGCGCTCATACTTATGGCTGGCATGGTCATGGTTTGAATCACCACTTTGCCTGACTCACTTCAATGGACCACATCGTTGGAGAGCGGGTTAAGCGGGTTATCAAAACGGGTAGAATCCGAGGAAGACGTAATATTACGGACCAAGGATAGATTTCTGACGACCGACTGTGATGTATTATTGTAACTTATCATTGTTACTAATGTTTATGTACATATTGTTCAGAGTAATAAATCTTATTAATTTATACTAACGAAATTACACGATACGGGGTTCGCTTTCCGCTTGGCCTCGTTCACCTCCTTACTTCAACTTCAGACCGGCCTTAAGCAATTGAAAGCACAGGCAGTGAGTAAAGAACAATGTATCCGATGGTGCCTCCATGACCCTAGAGTGTTACCACTCTACCGAGATTCAGGACGTAATTTGAATGCGTGGCTTATCCCTATAGTGTATGGAATGATAGACGATTTGCCCATACCCTTCGATTATTCCATCGTGAAGAAATTACAATTCGAAATCGACCGATGACCGATGGTACAGAGTTGTCAGCGCCGGCTGATTGATGGATGCAGAGCTTTGTCGATAAATTTTAGTTTAACCATTCATGACTTCTCCCGGGGTTAGACGACAATTCTTTGACAAATGGAGTTTGTTGTAAAATTACGGTCATATGCGGTAATTACTGCATCGTAGTGGGGCTGTCAGGGAAGAAAACGCACTTCATTGAAGTCGGACATACAAATCAACTAACTTTTAACATTTCTGGCAAATTGAAGGCCTGTTGCAGAAGGGTTTGGCGCTGTGCCATACCTGAGCCCCCCGTGAAGCCGAACTACTTTGAAGGGTCCATAGACCCATCGGCCTCATGACCAATAGGTGAACACAATTTTTTGTCAAAAAGGTCGCCAAAGATGAATGCATTCTTAGCCCTGTATGAAGCCGTTATACATAAAAGCACTACCGTACCAAGTAGCACTGTAGCAATACTCCTACCATAGCAAAGATCTTGGTACTGCTAAATACCTTGCATGAGGTAAACATAGCATAGCAAAGATATAACATGATGTCTAATTAGTAAGCTTTCCCCGAAGCCTCATGAAGTGGCTCTCATCGGCAACATAACAGAACCCATATGTTGAGCTATTCGTGCTGAAGACCTACCGAGTCTAGTGAAGCCGTTTACCTGCATCTAATTGCTACAACTGATCCTACGATTCACTGCAAGCAACAGTGTTCGGGAAGTAGGGAATGCTTTGGGAATGATGGGGCTGCCCGAGAGGCGTATTGCCTTTGACAATCGCCATGCCCTTCCTTTGAACCTTGAAGAAAGAAATCCCGTCGAAACTTTTAGCAGACGACTATGCAAATCTCTTTAGCGATTCGGAACTATCCGAAATCCTGAGAAAATTGGAGCATTTGTTTGAATTGGAATTTGAATCACCTCATGAATAAATCCAAGCCCGTATTACTAGTTATTTTAATGGCAAGACGTATGGTCGCGTGAGTATGGCGTCTATCGCGTGTCGATGATATGGTGATCATCGTCGAGACAACGACGAGATAATCATCACCTTGGTGAATGCCCCATTCTGCCGGCCCAGTGCTCTGTCAACCGGAATATCTCCTCATACATACGGAGATATTGAGACAATAAGATGACGGAAAGATGAGGATAGTAAGAACCTGAATTTAATGAATAACCGGTTCACTAAAATTGATAGAAGAACTGAAGCAAAATTGAAGGGAAAAAAGGGCCAAAACTCTATTTCAGCTAATTCGACTGGAAATAGTGAAAAAGAGCTGTACTATCTAGGCGGATGAGATTGGAGAATAGGCTTGAAAGTTTGAAAACCGTAGAGGAGTGCAGTTCTACAGGTCCGAATAGCTCTGATGCTGTCTGTTATTTATTCACTTATTTATCTATTTTTTATAGCTCATGACTCATTAAGAAAAAAGTTCACAGGAATCCATGAATGTGACCGTGGGTAATGTGAACGTGCTAAATCAAGGACAGGCAAAGGACCTATCTTTTCAGTTGTACTTTTCTGGGTAGAATACAGATGTTGCTTTATCATGTAGCAGTGACGCCACAGCTATGGATTATGAAGCTCCACACAGAATCATTCCTTCCGGTAGATCAGGTTTTTCATAACTTCTCGGTCAATTCTGCTGGAAATCGAATGCGTGGCGCATCTCAGGAAGGGGCAAAAGGCAGCTCCTCACCAAGAATCTCGTTCCTCATCATTCCACATTAATGGAGGTCAGACCAAGCATGACTCGGAACGGTTTTAGGTGATTTCGATTGAAATTATGGAGAGAGAAAATATTTCACACTTAATTCATAACATAGCTCCTGGAACGTCCAGACAATTCTCTTCGAGCGACAACTTAGATATTTTGATAGTGAACAAGCAGCTGTACTTCAGTGTAGTGCCCTTAATTACATTCCATAATGTGTCTTTTTGTTAATTACCATCACATTACTTACTCAGCTAATCATTACCTATGTGGGTACACAGGTGTTCTTTCGGATGTAATTCTACACCATCTACTTCACCTCACGTTGATGTCTGGGTGGGGCTTTTTGCAAGATTCGACCTCATGGAGCCCCTTGTCGACTCATATGCTAATCATCGGAATAATTATGGCAGTCGAGTGCGCGAATCTGTTGTTTTGGCCATAGGCCAAATGCTCAGGAAATCTTGAGGGACAGCGAGATTCGGCTTGGATAAGGTTTATTAGGAAAGCATATTAGGAAGGGCTAATCAGTTCACGTGCTCATTATGAAAGATTTCAATGGGTAAATGTTCATAGTCGACAAAAGCTCTACTCGTCTTGAACTATTTGGGACCCTCGAGGTTCCTGCCATCAGTACAAAGGTGATGGACAAACCTTCGTTAATCAAAGTTCAGGTAGCTTTGCTTGGGAGGTCCTCATGATGTCTTTTTAAGATCAGGTGGTGTTTCATATATTGGGAACCAGCTAAGATGAGGTAGTCAGCTAATCCTGTCGATATCCTCCTGACGGGAATCCTGAAGACAAAGTAATCGTTCTCGGGCAATATCTGAAAAACAAATCATCGGCGCTGGATCTCGTAGTGGATGGATCAAATCCCGTTCAGTCCTATTAGGCTTGCCTGGCTACTGAAGACCGATGTGATCTTTTTTTGTCTGAAAGTGAAGGCAGCTCTCTTAAAGGACTGTCTTTATCTATCCAGAGAGGTTGGTGCAGTTTTTGCAGATAATCAGTTGCCTCTTTTCAAAGGGAAACCAAGTACATGGCATCTGTCAAAAGTACGGATTGGACACTTGCTTCAGTTTTTCTAGTATCTCTTAGGCAAATAGCAGTCGAGGAAAAGGTAATTACAGCCTGTTTATCGTAATAAAATCGGATAGAAGTTGCATAACAGAACGACAGCATTTCAGTTGTTCCATATCGAATTTCATCCCTAACTCGTCAACGATGACAACAGTAGCGAAGGTCTACGGTAAGAAAATATTTGTGTATTCGTTTGTCGAGCTTATCTTGGTTATTTGATACGTTCAAGTGCGTAACCACTTCGAGTAATCGCAGCGGCGCACCTCGTGGAACAAGTGTCGCTCATCTAACGGGTCGAGCACTCACGACATCGTCTAAGGGCCGATTGGGGACCGAGCTGTTGGACAGGATGGATCAGGGAATTGTTTTAGTCTGGTCAGAAGAGATTTAATACAAATTTCCGTAATTTCTTGTATTCCAGTAGGCTTGAGTGAGAAAATAGTGGTCAAGGTGACGATGGGAGCGAACCCGTGGCCTGTCGTTGAGCCGTTGCCTGTCAAAGCGGAGGAGCTGNACTTATTCGTGAATTGCATGTATTCCAGTAGGATTGAGTGAGAAAAGTGTGGTCAAGATGACGACGAGAACGAACCCGTGGTCCGTCGTTGAGCCTGTCAAAGCGGAGGAGCTGGTGAGATTGAGTGACAATTTCCTGAGGCACCTGGTGTCGTTCGTGTATTCTTTGTTCGTTTCTGTGGTCGGTTAGTTTTTTTCAGGCCATCATTAGTTAGGTGCAAAGAGGGAGATAGAGAAAAATCCGGCTTTTAGTGCTAGCTAGGACCCGTCCAAATGCCCACTAACATCGGGCAGAGTCCCTTGCAGATCTATTCGAATGAGGAATGAGCCACGTATCTGGCTTTCACTCAGAATTAGAATGACACTAATTAAGTTCAGCAGGCCTGTACCTGAACTGTGCGATTCATTTGACGTTTGGATTACTGATTGACTTTGCTGATTTACTATTTTACTATCAATGACCTGCTCTCCGGGATACTTCTGATACTAATAAGTATACTCGGACGATATGGTGCCACTGGTAGCCTTGAGAGCGATTTGATCATGTGCAATATGTGAATTCCATCTGCCGCCTCTAGCAATTCCACTACATCCTCCCTATCAGATCAGTAATAGTGAAATGTAATTTAGAAAGTTAAACGTCAGATGAGACAACAGGATCAGGTACAGCCACCCAGTACTGAATGAATGGGAGAATTATCTCAAATTATAGGGAAATCTTAAAGGGTTCTGGAAAAAGAGCAACACAAAGCAGTTTTTCTTGATGTTTGGTAAAAATTACTACTTGGCTAGGTAATATGGTCAACTAAATTGGAGGAAGAAAGGGGAAAGAAACTTTGGTGTTGAAAAGTCCCCTTTGATATGGGATGAGTTACTGCTCGGAATCAAATTTTTCTTTTCGACNAGTACTGAATGAATGGGAGAATTATCTCAAATTATAGGGAAATCTTAAAGGGTTTTGGAAAAAGCGCAACACAAAGCAGTTTTTCTTGATGTTTGGTAAAAATTACTACCAGGCTAGGTAATATGGTCCACTAAATTGGAGGAAGAAAGGGGAAAGAAACATCGGTGTTGAAAAGTCCCCTTTGATATGGGATGAGTTACTGCTCGAAATCAAATTTTTCTTTTCGACGTGTATATAAGAGATTGCCCTAATTCAATAAGAAGTATGTGTAGCTGCCTTATAGAAATGCAAATCTCTACAACTCAGAGGGTCAAGAACCCACCCAGGCCATTGAGCTCTCCTCTTCGGAGAGCTTACTCTCAGCGGCACCTGTGAGTGTTTCAAAGCGGTTGTTGTGGTCTGCAACTGATCAGTGTAAAGCCGTGTCAGAACACATGTCATCGAGTACGCCTGTTTCGCTTAAATTATGGTGATAGCCGAGGAATTTATGATGAACAAGTGGATGAGGGCAGAATCCTGCTTGCAGCTGCGAGCAAGTCCTTTGTCTCCTTATTTGTTTACTTATTTACATCAGCACATTCAATGGGATGTACCGAAACCGCTGAGTAGAAGACATAACACTGATCACAATGAAGACTTACACTTTGATTTGTATCAAATGGAAATAACAATGTTCACAAAAAACGGTTCATAAGAATAAACTACTGAATAATAGGTGACTAATTGATGTAAGGAACCTTGTAGAAACGTTGATCAGAGGGGATTAGTTTGTAGTACTGCACATGGCACTCTTATAGCAAGATTATGTTGGATTTCAGGTTTACCAGAAGTCCTTAGGTTTAGGTCCTTGCCTTTTCCTATGCGCTTGGAGATGATCAAAGAGCAAATCATTCTGTAGAGCGGCTCGTAGGATGACAACTTTCCCTGGGAAGATAGAAATCTCCTGAAAGGATTAGTCGATCCCCAACTGGACAGCTGATCGTACTATTTAAGCTTATAATTGCCTTACTTGTAGCAATGGCTCAGAGCTCAATGGCGCAATATGTTCTCTCTCTGTCATGCACATGCAATACGCTTGCGCGATGAAATCCAAGTCGGCTTTTAATTGCCTCGATGTCCAATTAAAGCACCGTCGTGTATCGAATAGCACAGGGGAGACTAATTAGGCAGGCAGAGTCAGTAAGTGAAACTTGAGAGATAAAGTGCAGGGAAAGCTGACTCTGAATGCGGTCTCATGTGGTCTCTATAAAATCTTTCCTGGCACTCAGGGAATCAACCTTCGTCCTGGGGCCCTGTTACGGCTTAACACGGTGTTTCCACCAGGGTGGGATATGGGAGTCGGGGATCAAACAAGCCTGTTTTTTAAAAACTATAAAAATGAGGGACAAGAGGTGCTGATGAAAAGTGAAGTCAAAATAAAGCTAAAGGAATAAAATAAATAATAATAACAAGAAGTGGTAAGAGCGAAGGGTTCATGTGAGGCTCAGAAATCATCTGGGCTTCCTTACATGCCTTTATTTTAAAAACTGTCTTAAAGGGAAGCTCGTAATAAAATGGGCTATGACTTACACAAGAGAGGAACTCTGGAACTTAAATGGACCTAGAAGCTCCTTAATGGTGTGCTCAAGGTACTTTTTCGGCTTGAACCGGCCAAGTTTTCCGGGAAAATTCATCCATAGGCCTGATGACACAGAACCGATTTATCGACGTTGTTAGTTGTTGATGATGGGAGCAAGTTGCTGGGGGTTTTCGTACCCAGGTGATAATTTCTGGCTGGGCCGTTCCATATTGCACCACCAACTACTAATCAGTTTTGTTACCGCTCCTAGTCGGAGGGAGGTGTTTATCAGAAAGCCTAATGAATGCTATTGATAAGCTACCCTGATTAGTACCCTGTCTGGAAAGTCCTCTTGGTAAGCTGTGGTCAAGCCGCTAGATAAGGGAGTGCGACAATTCAATCGTGATGATAATTACGGTAGTGGTCGGTAAGGTGTTTGATGTTCCCTCTGCATTTACGTACGGGTTCAATTGAGGATCGACAGGTCGGCTTATGTTAATGAGGTGTGCGGTCTATTAGTACCTGAATAGAGAGCGGATACGGAAGGAAGTGCTCATGGGATTTGAATGGATAGGCGTCGTCCTTCAATCGAATAATTAGCATTTCCGTCTTCAGTTTTCACATTTCGAGGATTCCTACCATGGTATTGAGATGGAGATCGGCCCTCCACACGCTTATTATGGAGATCCATCAGCCTTTGACCTCAATATTGTTCTGTGAATGCAATCCTTCTGTCATTCAAATCACCGTGGCTATATGGACGGGCTCAATATTGCATCAACGAAAACGCAATAATCATGTTTTGTGGTCCATGTTTTCCGGCCAGAACAAAGAGCTGCAGGGAGCACACAAAACCCAAAATGGGGTCAGTTACTATGTCATTTTCAAGGCCTCATATGGAATTTGGAATAACGGGGAAGAGCTCGGTGATGGGATCCGACGAGAGCTACGAAAAGGTCAAAATCACTTGAGGAGTTGGGTGGACTGCTTCTCATCTAAAAGTCACACAATAGTACCAAAAAAGCAGAAAAAAATTACTGTTATTCGAAAGTTACTGTTATTACAAACACGGAAATTACGATGAAGGTGAAGAAAGGCTGCTATTCTTGCGAATGCATCGTTTTCTTTATTATCATGATAAGGGAATCAGCGCTTTAAATAGACGCAAGCTAGAAAGGGGGCAAATGGATTCAGTGAAACACGGCCCTTCACATTAAGTCAACTCTTAAAAAAGGGAAATATAGGAGAATGGAGCTCTTGTTTCTATGGTGGAGTTGGTTGGGACACTTTCAAGTGGAATTGGCTAAAGTGGGATTGGACCCGATCACTTTTCTCCACACTTGAAAAAGTAGCGCCTATTCGTCACCGTCCGCCTTTCGTTTGACTTGAAATTCCATTTCGACAGCAGTAGTAATGGAAAACGTTCAGGAAGGACAGAGGTGAAAGGCCTTTTCCTAGAATAGCGAACGGAAAACCACGCTGTCTGAGAGCACTTCATTGGTGTGACGGCAGGGCAGTTATCTTCTGGTAGGCCTGTCTTTTCAAGGGAAGTCGAATTAGAGACAAAAAAGTTTAGTGGAGTAGATGAAGGAGGATGAGAAATGGATTGCGTCAAAGAAGTAGGTTTTGATAAGAGATTTGAAGGGTCTTTGAGACAGGTAAGAAGCTGGCTACTCTCCCTAAACATTTTCAGGAAGATTTTCACGAATAAAAAGCTTCTTGACAATTTAAGAGGAAGTTTTGTCTTTGAAAACACATTGAACCTATGAAATATGAAGCACCGTAGCTGTAGCAACTGTTTCTGTTTCTAAGATAAGCACCAATTTTGAAAGGAACGAAAATTCGCATGAATGGCTTTTCGTGTCAGAGTAGTTAGATTTTGATTCACGGTAAGGTTCATTGGGTTTCTTTCGTGATTACGACCGGCGCCAGCCATCATTGCACTTTTTTCGTTTTGATGAAGACAAAACGTCGTGCTTTTGAACGGGGCACACATGTCGCGATGGCGAGTTCCGGCTTTCGGTCCTCATTCCATCTACAGTATCCTGGCGTAGTCTGTCCTAACCGATCAGGCTATAGCGACCTTCATCGTCACTCGAGTATTCAGATGACCTTCTGAAGCCATCTGACTGGCCGGCAAGCGTCAGCATCTGGCGCATCTTCTTGTCTAATTCGTGCCTCTCCAGTGATGGATCGGTGCAGTCCCTTTGATCAGACGGCGAGTGATGCCGTCAGGATGATTGATAACTCCATACAGTGCACTCCATATAATTAGTACTGTACACATTCTCAACAGTTCAGATTACGATATCAGCCATTCAATGCATGGGCAGAAATATTTATTTTTGATTACTTTTTTACAAGAGATCAAAAACTATGAAAAACTGGCATCGTATTTTAAATTTCATCGGCGTCATACTTCAAGTTTCTATGAATTTTTGATGTAGATCTCCTCTTTGCTCGATCAAGGTGACGGCGATCTGTAATACCAATCAATAATTTGCTATACTCGACGATAACTGACAATACATACATATAAATTGAAATACAAGAAATTGAACCGACGACTTTATTTACCTTCCTTAAAAGTGAAATAACCCACATCTAACCTTTGAAAGACCTAGGGAAGTATTCATAATGTGATTGCATGAGAAAAATTTCGGGTAGGTTCCACTAAAAAGCGCTGTGCACTTGAATTTTCTTCGGAAGCCATGTAAGCGCTCATTATTTTGACTAATGCCATTCTAGGAACCACTCTTCTGCAAATCGCTACATGGGTTCCCCGACAATTAGTGATTGCAATGGGATAAGGGGCATCGTTGATCTTTCAGGATTCAGATAGTAGTTGAGTGCGTTTATCGGAGGAATTTTACACGAAAGTTAGGGGATTTGCATAGTTATTTGAAAGATAAAGTCTTGGGGCACTCATCAATTTCCTTAGAGGGATGCGCCCACGCATTCGACTTCCACTCAGAATCGTAGTGGCGTGTTGAATGGCCTATACAACGACCTGCACTGGCCAGCCGATGTACAAGTCAGTGCTCTCATCCTCCCATAAGAATCTGGCGCCAATTAACTACCCCAGAGCGATGTGAGGCTTTGTTGGAATGGGCGAATATCGATACAGGATTCGAACTCGTGACCATGCGTGTGTGAAAGCGCCACTTGTCACTACACCACCTCCGTATAACAAGTAATTAACAATGTATAAACGCTAACCTTGTATCAATCAGGCTTAAGAACTTACATTTCAGAAGTTGGGAGTGATAGGTGGAGTCGGTATGACAACGAACGATGCTGAATTTCAGAATGGGATCTTCAAGGTTTGGTAGATCGTAATGAGAGACCAGCGTCATCTGTAAATACTCATTTTTAGCCTATGGACTTATGGAACGGAATTGATTACAGCCCCAAAGTCCTTTAAAAACTGATATTAATGAGTAAATGTGAAAAGGTCTGATCCGAAGTGATGTCGCCAAATTCAATAAAAAAAACTTGAGCCTAAAGTCGCTCTGTCGCCCGCCTCTGAGGTCGCTTAAAAAGAGCCCTGCTTTTTTGATACTTTTGATTTCTCATGGAGAGATTTCGATCTAGGGATCTGAGGCATCCCGGTGCTTCTTGTGAAAATGAAAGATCCTTATCGAAAGTAGGCGGAAGTCCGAATCCCCTGAGTGGAACCAAGAAAAAGCTTTTCTTTTTGTTGAGAAGCTTATCAAATCCCGTCCAAACGACGACGTTTCCTATCTTAGAGGCTCATGTTTGGCTCAACTCATAAACCAAAATGTTCGGCAACACTATAATGACACATTCGCATGACTTTCGAAGCTCCTGTTTAGGATGGAACTTCAAGAATATTCAAGTAAGTGGAGTGAACCAATTTTGCTTGAAGTTTAATGTAGTAATGACCACTAGTAATGAAAGCCAACTTACATTTTTCGATTTCCCTTTGACGGCTGCTTTTGAGAGAAGTCGCTGGTCGATTTTGGTTACATCCACACCCCCGCTCAACACATGCCACCAAATGGAGCCTCCTGAATCAGGTGGATTTTCAAGCTAGCAAACCCTAAGGGTAATCATTTTCATTTTTTTTGTGTAAGAAATGAATACTCACTGAAGGGTGTGCAGAGATCGACGATGGCTTGATTGGGATTTCTGCTGGGATTTTCATGAATTTCTTTGAACTGAAATAAGAGGGCTTCATTTCCCAGTGATAGACAAAAGGAGTAAACTGTTTTCTTAGCTCTGTAAAAACTACACAGTGAGGAATTTAGTTGATGGCAAAATCACCAAAGCATCATTGTGAGAACGGTGAGTAATCGCAGCCTCCGCAGTGTTTAGTACATCATGGGCTCTTTTTCTGATCTAGGACTTCTCAAGTGCTTTGTGATGGAAGGATTTCTTGCAAAACTGTGGAGATGGACGATGTTGCGCCCCGCCCATAGTTGAGACCGCCCCGCCTATTGTCACTACTGAATGAGAAAGATCACAATGGCTTCGATGGCAATATTTGGCTTTGGCACAAACATAAGATTGAAGCTTTGGAAATACCGATGTTCCTCAGATTACTATCAAAAATCAAAGATGGNTTTTTTTTTTTTGAAATTTATCCCACTAATGATTCCTAAGCGCTAGCAGACAATTAATGGGAGCGTTTCTTTTTGGCTTGAATTGATTTCATTTATCATATGGTCTAAGCCATTTTCGGCGTGAAATTTTCTAATGGATATAATTCTTAATCGACGACTCTATACTGCACGATAAAAATGTTAACTTATTCAAGCAAAATTCGCACCTCCTCCCATCGCTTCTTTTTATCCAGAGAGTATTCAACAGATGGATTCCGTAGATGAGTCCAAGATAGGTTCGAAGGCTAAAATAACTCAACATCACCATCCGTTCCATTCTTTAACTTCCTACTTCCTGAGTAGTATCTTGACAACACTCACTGACAAAATATTGTTGTAACTGACGATTTCAGTAAAAAATTATTAAAATATCTTAAAAAATGCATATGAGTAAAAAAAATATATATGAATTAATCAATTAAAATGCGTACATAGTGGTAGCGCCTGATGTCTCGTTTGACGTGGGTGGCTTGCGGCTCGTTTCTGCGTCTTGGTGGTCTTCGATATCTCGCTTTATCTACGATATCCTCGATCCTGTAAAAAAATGAAAAATATACCAGAGCGACTCTGGGAAGAGACGGTTAAAGAACGATTTCACCGCTTCAAACATGTTTCCTCAAAGGTGAGCCAGGAACACGGCAGATATACTGAATCGCACAAACTATTGAACCGGGTTCTCGATCATTTTATAGAAGAAAGGTCTTTAATAGTGGTCTACTCTAGAACCCCATTAAATGCTATGCTCTGGAGGAGCACAATTAAGTTACTGGATGGATTCCGACGAATCAACGGAAAACCCGAACAGAATGTTTCGAAACCTCTCGAACCAACTGCCAAAAGCCAAGCCATGGATAGGAAAAAATCATTGTTTAGTGACAATCAGTGAGGGTTGCTCAGTTTTATGACCTTCACGAGCTTCGAACGCATGCAACCCCATGTAGACGAGCACGTTCTCACCACATCAGACCTCTCAAACCTTCTTACATAACACCTGTACTCAAGAAAAACCGAATATTGATGACATGTTTACCAATATTTATACATGGTGCTATCCCCTTCTATCTCCTTCTTATAAAACTGTTACTGAACTCTCACTAATCTTCCCGAAAGGGAAGGGAAGGAGCTACGGACCAGAGCATTTCCCTGAGTAACTTCGATTTCGATTGGCATTTGTCCCCAGGACAAATAGGATGAAAATGGCAACGATCGAGGCAAAGCAAATGTTTTGAATATCGATAGACACGAATCGTTCGGGCACTCTTATCTATGTATGAATTAAATAACTGAGAAATTTTGTGAACGCACTCGTTATAGTCGTAGAAAGGTGTGGGAGACGACATTTGGACTAATCGTAGCCGTTTTTGAGCTGTGCTCACGCTTTTTCGCTTTTAAACTGGCGATTACTAGTGGTTGCGCAATATTTCTTCCGGCCCGTAACGGAGTGAGTCATCACCACTGCAACGTGCATCACGTCTGCTCGGCTCCCTACCCGAGTGATTCGAGTGGGAGACAAACAGGCTCCTGTTTACTCTTCAAAAAGTTACTGGCCTCTGTAACACCGATGATTCTATCCTTACGTAGCAGAGCAAGAGCTTTTCTGGTTGACCAGTAATCTATGACAATGCCAGCCTTATTTAGCGTGAGATGCCTTATGCAATGAAGTCATTGTATCAGCCAAATAAGCATTCATTACGCCACAACGATTCTGAATGGAAGTAGAATGCAGGGCGCGTCTCTCAGACGGGATTGATTGAGGCCAAAAGAGCTTATCCTTTATATCTTATAGCAACTACTGATAAAATGGGTCATCAGCAAGCAAATACACGCTCAATAATGGGAAAAACTTTCTTTTCAGAGTATAGCCGAAAAATATAAATAAAAGCACTACAAAACTACAAGTTGGGGTGGGTGGTAAACTATAAGTTGGGATGGGGTATTTCTTTCTGTTCTGAAATCAGATCATTCTGAGAGGTCTTGCTCAAAGAGAAGGGTCTTGCTTAAAGCAAAGATGGGCCTCGAACTTGACAGCTACCCTGGATCACATAAGCTACTGAACCGATTTACGCGCATGCTCAAGAGGGAAGGCTTCAGGAAAACAGTGCCCTGAGGCTTCCTCAGCTGCCTACCAACTGTAATTCCATGGAGTAGGACAGTTCAAAATTAGTGGAAGTATTCCGACAAATCAACAACAGACCAGATAACGGAAGGTTGTTGATTCCTATTGAATCAAATGTCAAGAGCTCTTCACAAATAGAAGGATGAGCGCTTCTTGATTCGGTACCTATTCCCAGGAAAAACTCGATCTGATGGATATACGCTTTTCATCAATATATTAATGTTGTCATGCCCTCTGCTTCACTTTCATGAAAACGCAAGATATAGAACTCTCACTATTTTCACTCCCTTCACCAAAAGTAATTGAGCTACAGATAGAAGCAATTTTGTGAATTGTCTTATTTCAATAAGTTTTTTCTCGCCTAGAGAAATAGGATAAAAATGGCAACGATCGATGCAAAACTGGGAGGTTTGAGTATTTTTATGAATATTTGAATAGAAATTATGAGAACTCACTCGTTATAGTCATAGCAAGGTGTGGAAGATGGCATTCCGTGAATCGTATTGGGTCTTGCCCACGTTGTGCTCAGGTTTCTTTCGCTTTTATACAAGCGACTACAAACTGTTTCACAATATCCGTTCCTAAGATAAGGTTTACGATATGCCCGCCACTTTCCAGCGTCATCACGAAGGTGATGTTCCGTAGCCGTAAACCTTATCTGGCGCCATAATCGGACGACTAGATTGGAAAACAATCAAGCTGTTGCATAACTTCCGTTCAAGTCATGGCTGACCGCTTCAGTACTAGTGGACAGTTCCATCTGAACCTTGCAAGAGAAACGGTTATTTTTTTGCCTTTCGTATTGCTGAGTCGCTGAGAGGAAGTGTTCTTTCTTCGCATAATAAGTATTTACTGGGATCTCCCTTCTTTTTCTTCAAACTCACTGTTCTGAAGAAAGCATGCTGTCGGAACCAGATGGAACCGGCAATGAAACTCAAAGAGGAGGACAAACATACCCGATAACATACAGGCGTGAATCCCGCAACTCCTAAAACATCTCAAAGAGCTAGGTTTCTTGGGCAGCTGAGCACTTCACAAAAAAAAATTCACGGTAATCTACCCGATCATACTACTACGAGTACGTCAATTCAGAATGCTCAAGCCCACTCCCCATAGAAATCATCGCATGCGGGGTCATCTGCCGCATCTGTTAATCGCTTGATAAATCCGCGTTTTACCTGCCGATTTGAGGGGATCATTCACAACGAGAAGTCCACAACGTTGTTGGAGATTTCATCGCTGGGCTTGGCGGAGTACAAGAGGAGTTCAGGGTTAGAGAGGTCAAAGTGGGGGGGGGGGGGGNGGGGGACACAAGAGGGAACGGAAACCGCCTTGCTGAACATTTGTTCTCGACTCTTCCTTGGAAACTCTTTCTTCCACAAAAAGGATTATCGGACATGTGAGTCTCCAAACGGTACAACTCATGCTGAACTGGACCACATATTAACAAACAGAAAGCGGCGCTTACTAAATGTAAGTGTGGTAGTATCTTTCTGCAATGGTTCTGATCATCGACTCCTTCGCCCTCAGATCAGATTCAGTCACAACTGAAAAAGATCGTTGAACATCACGCAAAGAGCTCAAAGTATGCTGTATACGACGGAGATGTTCTGAACGACTCTTCTCCCAATATCACTGGCAGGTTCTGGGTGATCCGACTGAAGACTAGGGCGCGCTTATTCGGACTTTTCTCCCTTGTGTTGAACTGACGAAGCTTCCTCGAGTGGATATCTTCGCTCGCATTTCGGATGAGAAGAAGGATCTTTTCAAGGCAAGAAGAAACTCGAGGCTCGACCAGAGCGCAACATCTTGGAAGAGTGAATATCAGCTGCAGTCAGGCAATGCGGCAAGATCTCCAGCAATACAGGGAGGGAAGACTACTGGAGGCAGCCTTGAATAGAACTAGTCTGAAAAATGCTGTCGGGATCTTCAGGAGCAGAGCATTCCTTTTTCGTGTATGAAGAAGGAGGATGGAACACTTACAACACCGAGATTAGAGATGGATAAAGTTATATGGAAGTTTTACGTAAACCCGTACCGATCCGCGACGCACATGCAAAAACAAAATCCCCACCGGCGGAACCGCACCCCGGATCCTCCCTTCAGATGCGAGAGTTGCTATTGCGAGATGAAAAGGGGCACTATTTCAGGCCCGGACTAAATCTCAGCCAACCCACTCCGTGCAGTTACCCACGGACTTCATGCGCTTCTCGCATCCTATTCCGGAACGTAGAGTTGAAAGCTTCTCGTATATCTTCTGGCACAACCAACCCTGAAGACTGTTCAAAAAGACTCTTCGGGACAACGTCCGACTCGAGGTGCTATTTCTTCATGTATATTCCTCTCACAAAACCCCAGGGGACTATCGTCAAATATTGACAGTGTTTCTTTTTGGATAAACTGTTTTTATTTATCATGTTGAGTGAGCCATTTTCGGCATGTATTTCACGGAAGTATCTTCAAATGGTGGAAATGAGTAAACGCTGATGGTAAAGTGCACCGAAATTCGTGTCTTTTCCAATCGTTTCTACTTATCCAGAGAGTATACAACAGATGG